ACAATTAACATCAAAATTTTTTGTCACAATTTTGATATATTGAAAAGTCTCCGACATACATTTTATTATTTTCTTTAATTCTGTAGAGCCGTTTTTCTATCCGAGCAATAATTACGAAAAACACCTCTTAATACGAATTATTTCGATCGGTAATAACAGGACGGTCCAGGACCCTCTTAACAGTTATTGCCCGCATAAACAAGGTCTAACTGTAAAAAACTGTTCAATGTTTGTTAACAATCTGTTATCAACACAGGCGACAGATATGATCGCAGATAATCGCCATTTTGTTGTCTAGATGTCAAACAAACAGTTTAGTAGTCTTGCGTACAAACAGTCCGCACATATGCAGGAACAGATCTGCTTAGCATTTGGTGGCAATCTGTCGTCAATGCGTTCAACAGATCGACCCGACTGCGGTCAACGTTTTGTCATAAACAGATGCTCATACGGTTTTGCGGACTGTTTGGTCACAATATTACTAAAGCAGATTTGCTTGCTATCGACCATCTATTTGTTATCAATTTCACTAACATATATGGAATCAGTTTGGCCGCAATAATCTCATGTATGTGCCAACAGAGTTGTTGCGTTTTTTGTCTTTATGTGCTAACAGTTTTGGCAGCACCAAAGCATGTTTCCGTACTGTAGCGTTTCTGCACACAGTTTCTGTTGCCAAAGTCTGCGCAGTCAGAAATTGTTTGCTGGGTAGTGGGATATGATATATATATACAGGGTGTCCCAGAATTGCCATATAATCTCTCGTAGGCAGATAGAAGGAGTCAAATTAAGTCGAAAAGTCCTGAACCTTTTTTCTATCACTCATAATAAAGGAGTAATTATTGAATAAATCCGGCCAATCAGCGTCGATCTTTAGCCATTCGCACGTCAGTGAACCGCGCGGAGCGCTCACACACACCAGGCGCGCGGCTCACTGACGTGCGCCTGGCTAAAGGTCGGCGCTGATTGCCCTGATTTATTTAATAATTACTCCTTTATTATAAGTAATAGAAAAAAAATGGTTCAAGACTTTTCGACTTAATTTTACTTCTTCTACCTGCCTACGATAGATTGTACGGCAATTCTAGGACACCCTGTGTATATATATACATATCTCACTGCAGATAAATATAAATAAATAAATTTTATAAGTAAATAAAATTAGCATTGTTATTATATTAGTCTCTTAATTGTTTATCAAAATTCACCAAGATTTTTCTCCACAAACAATTCAAGATGAAATCGCACTTACTTCTAGTCACAGCAGCAATTAAGCTGTAGAAACAAATTTTCTTAAGGTTTTTCTCACTTCATTGTATTACGAAGATGTCGGCAATGACGAACGCGCATTGAAAGTTTTCTTCGGCGCATGTAAAATTTCATTTCACGGCGGAACGTGACTTGGTGCAGGAATTGCATCGTATGAGGTAAGTTAAGTAAAGCTGTAACATTTAAAAGTACAAAATAAGTATTTCAATTCAATTAAATTAAAATGCTCAAAAAGGACTTTTATAATATAGCAACTTTATTTCTGTATGCTTAAATTCAGCTAGAACAATTTACGAAAATCGAAGCGTCCCAAGCAACCAGCTGACGTTGTAATGACGTAAATATACGTGATTTTTGTCACTAATTGGTGATTATGACCTAAATCTGACGTTATTTTGAACGTCATAACAATGACGTCAGTATATACGTCACACATATACGTCATATATGATGTAACTATTGGT